TTATTTAAAATATTCAGTCAGCTAAGAACTTGGGTAAAACTTGCCATAGTGATGTGTGATTTGTGAATGAATCATTCTTTCAGATTCTTTCGAATTATTTTGTTCTTTTCATTGAAACAAACTGGTTCTCAAATCTGTGTGATTGAGTCATTAATGAATCAGTTTGCATTCATTCATTCATTCATTCGTGGGACTGGAAAGGTCACAGAAATGTCATGGAAATTGATGTAGCTAAAGCAAAAGAATTTTAACACAATTTACTGTTTTCATTCTTAGGGCCCGAGCACCAATGGTGCGAGGAGGACCCTCTTGGAATTGCTCTGTTTCTTCTTCTTTTTCTTCTTCTCCTCCTCCTTCTTCAAAGTGAATCGCATTTTTGAGGGCCTAAACATGCTCAAAAACTCAAGAAACTTTGCACATGTATCAGAACTGGCAAAAATTTACACCTGATATGGGTTTCAGAATTGGGCATGGCAAAATGGCTCGATAGCGACACTTATTAAATTTCAACAAAGTGCCCCACCCACTAGATTTCACATACATGTACGAAATTCAGTACATGCATGTAATGTCCCAATACCTACAAAAAAGTCTCTTGGAATGAAGTCCTAAACGCAACAGGAAGTCAGGCATTTTGAATTTCCTCTACGATTTTTGTGCAGTTTGCTGCGGGAGCCTCGCCTCAGCAGCGCAACCTTATTCCGTCAATAGATGCATTATATACAGTAGCTATATCCACTATTCGCCACTTACTCTAAAATGTAGAGTCTAAATGTAATAAAATCAGAATAATACTTGCGTTTTGGTGTTTACATGGTTATTTTTGGTTACTGATGTTTTAATCATGTTACTTGTCTGGCGTTAATGAAGCTTTAATTTCGAGCCCTGGAGTCTATGTGCCGGGGCTCAGCCCCGGACAGGCCCCGGCCCAATTTAAACCCTGGTTATAGCCATAGCGCCACCTGCTGGCAACAGGAAGTGACATGTTTAACACTGTTATGTCCTCCTAGCAACATATTAAAAAGCGTCAGCAAGTGTTAAATAAACTAGCAACATGGTAGAAACATGCTAAAACATGTTAGCAACACGTAGCTAAGTGCTAAAGCATGCTATTAATGCAATGAAACAGGAAGTTGCTGTAACTCAGACATACAGTGTCCAATCTGCCCCAAACTTAACATGTTTGATAAGAGTCCTGGCCTGAACACATTTACATGCCAATATTCAGTTATACTCATAGCACCACCTACTATAAACAGGAAATGACATGTTTAACACTGTGATGCACTATTAGCAACACACTAAAATAAACCATTGAGTGCTAAACATGCAAGAAACATGCTAGCAACTCTTACTAAGTGCTAATTAATGCCATGAAACAGGAAGCTGTTGTAACTAAGCCATACAATGTCTGATCTGCCCCCAGATCCACACGTTTGATAAGAGTCCTAGCCTGAGCACATCTAAAGGCCAATATTCAGTTATAATCATAGCGTCACCTGCAGGCAACAGGAAGTTTGACACATATAAATGATTTTGCCATATTCCTCCTATATTTGCCACTTTAAATGCTTAATGTCTACCGTTCACTGTTTTCCTAAGGCCACCGTGTGGAGGTGGCTCCAGCTGCGAGGGCCCTTTTAACCCTGCTTGCAGGTTTAATCATTACTGCTTTTTTTAGTACGTAGTGGTGGAATATAGTCAGCATAATGTTTCCTTATGCCAGCAGAAGTGCCCAGATGGTACACAGCAGATGGCACTGGTGCATTAATGCCTATTTATTAGTTCATGAATCGTCTGATACTCTGAGGACTGTCTCTCCTTTGGATTTAGTTGTTTTATTTGTGCTAGAGATGGAAGGGCTCTCATGCCAATGTGCCAGGAAGGGCACCTCCCTTGTCCAGTGATATGCTGCCATCTGCCACCAATGTTTTGTGTTTGTGGTGAACTGGTGCTGATTTAGACTGTGTGCCGGCCACACACAAACGGGCTTTAACATTCCCCAGCTGTGTGTTATGCCTGCACTGATTCGAACCCCACTTCTGCCTGTCTGAAAATGAAAACTGACGTTTTTTCTCTGTGAAAATGATGCCCAGTTTCATTCATGATGGGTCTGCTGTGGCCACACTTATCCTGAGCAGTTTATCTGTCTCTGTTATACTGTATTATGACAGCACTTTTTTTTTTAAAACTTAATTTCAATACCGTGATAATACCGTATACCGTAATAGAAGCATTAGCAATTAATCGCAACATGAAAATTTGATACCGGCATATCCCTAGTCTGGAGTGGCGCGGAGCTCTTTGACTTGCATACTGAAAAGTAAGCTTGCGCCAGGACAGAGTATCCCATTACTGCAAATTTTAAACCGTACAATACATTTGTTTTGCTAATTTTTGCCGAGTCATTGATTATGTGCTGCATGCTTGTGTTTGATCCCATGAAATCAAAATGGGATTTCTGTAGTTTTTAGTCCATGTCCATTAGATTTGTTGTAAACTGTATGCCAATCTACTTATAAACATTGATAAAACTAGCATTGACTAAAACTATATATGCATTTAAAATGAATAGTCCTTGACTCTCAGGAGAACAAACTAGAAAATTAATGACTTATTTTGTACTCATTCAAGGGCTTATGCAAAGATATGTCCAATCTAATGTTGAATGTCCCTCCTACTAGTATCATTTCTCATCGAATATATACAGTAGCAAATTGGTCACAGTTGTGATGTAAACGAAACAATATTGACTATATACAAAAAAGGGACGAGCCCTATAATGTGTTTCTCCACAAATTCCTATTTCAATAAGAAATGCATCGCAAATTTGTTATGTATCTTATGGAGTCCCTATGGGAATTAGTGATGGGGACAAAATGAGATGGGAGGGAAAATTATATTTCAGTGTTTTAGCATTCGTTCACGAAACAGTTTAGTTCCCCCGAGAAACGTTGCATTCTCATTCAAATCTTTTACATTCCCCCAAGAAACGTTTGCATATTCGCTCTGGAAATGTTTGCTTTTGTTCCCAAAACATTTGCTTTTGCTCGCGAAACATTTGCGCTCCCCAGAGAAACGTTTGAAACGTTCTCTTGCAAGACTTATGCAAGAGTTTGCGTTAATTAGCAAGACTTTTGCATTCCCCTGATAAACTTTTGTGTTCACTCGCAAGATTTTTTGCGTTTACTCGCAATACCTTGTTTTGTTCGCTCGCAAGACTTTTTGCATTCACTCACAAGACTTTTGCATTCACTTGCAAGACTTTTGCAGTCCCCCGAGAAACTTTTGCATTCCCCTGATTAGTTTGCCATCTACTTGCAAAACTTTTGTGATGGAAATAATGAGATATTTTTATGTATATTTCAATTATAGGTTTAGCATTTTTGTTAGATGATATGCAAATCTGACATATTTGTAACTCTGTCTGTTTTTATCAATGTATCAATACAAAAATCCAGAGCTGTTACATACCAAAGCTGAAATGTGGTATTGAACTAACCCTACTAGGAAGTGCCACTAACATCTGTTCTTTTTTATATTTTCCATCTCTCACATTCTGCTTTATCTCAATTAGTCTCACACTGTCTTTTTCTACAGTGCTGCTCTATTGCTTTTTGAATGTGAATACAAAATGTTTTATGTACCAAGACTGCATGCATGCAGAAAACCATGAGGGTTGTTTAAATGTTTTGAGAAGGTTGCTTTCTGAATTACTGTATATTTGAGGGTGAAGCTGTAATGGCGTTTGCTTTGCCCTGCTGTTTTGAGTCAATCCATTTGAGATTTCTTGGGCTTTGCCCACCACACTGGCCCATTACATAATCAGATCAGCTTGCGGTCACATGGCCGAGTCTGTTTGTCTCTTTTCACTCAAATTCAGATTTGCGCACACTGTATATTTGTGAACTGCCTGACAGGGTCATGTAAGGTAAATATGTTTGTCTAAGTGCTAATTTTGACTGCTCAAAGTCACAAAATGTGTAAACGTTCATCTCTACAGCCTATTAGTCACACATTTTGGCAAAAGCACCAATGCTACAGCCATACACATGCAAATATCTTTGCTGTATCTTGTGACCCTGACCTCTAGGCTGAAGAGGTCTGATTTCAACCTAAATTTTAGTCTTTGAAGGGTCTGACATTGGTCTGTCTGGTTGGGTTTTATACGTTCAGGTGTCTTTATGTTTCTGGGTACAGGGTGGATAAAGCCTGTGTGGAGAGCTTAGCATCACGCAATTATAATGCAAATAAGGATGGCTGTTTCTTCTCGACGCGCCAGACAAAGGGGCTTTTCTGTTTGGTTGAATTTAATTAGTACGGAATGTCTGTTGTGTGGATCGGTAGAAATCAGACAGGTTTTTCGATGAAAGGAAAACATTTAACATTCCTACTCAGCATTTGGCGTGTTGCTCTAGCCATCAAGAAAATGACATCAGATCTGTTTACTGCGGAAAATCCAAAGTGATTACCTGTCATTGTGTCATTTCTGGAATGGTGGAGTGTTCAAAAGAAGTCTAATTTATGAAGGTGTGGAGGAAGGTTCGCCAACATGTTTGGCAAACAACCTTATCAGTGTTTGAACGGAATGACAAGGTCTGTCAGATATGAATAGATTTTAGTTTTTTTCTTTCATAAATAATGCTTCCTTAACAGCGATCATTTTTAAAATATTTTTATTTTATTTTATATTCATTTGTTTTATATTTTTGACAGGAAATGTATAGAATACTAAACAGGACAATATATAGAATATTTAAACGGGTAATTTAAAATAAATATATAAATGAAATGCATACTACATAATACATTCAATAATAAAATATTATGTATGTTCATCAAAACATTGATTTTTTTCAATTATTTTACTAAACATAAATATATTATATTACTATAAATCTTAAATGTTTTGCTTTTTAAATTTGCTGTTGACACGTCATTCAGAAAGTTAAAACTTTGAACCAAAAAATGATGACTTGTTTCTTTTTGGCCTTTTACAGCTATTAAAGTCAACTGTGTGGGGTCGTGTGGCATTTCGTCCAAGCTGAATGATGCGTCGTGGATGCTTGAGGAGAAGTACTTGAGCAGCACGCTGTCTGTGGCCGATAAAGGTAAGGAGGCCAACTTCCATATCATTCAGTTTCTGTTTTCCTTTAGTTCAGAAATAGTCATTCTTAATATTATCAGTCCTTTAAATGGCTTTTAATGTCTCCACTCTACAATAAAAAACCTTGCTCACTTTGAAGGACTTGGTTTACTTCTCAAATTCATATTACTTGATCAGCTGTTTGTGTCGAAGAGTTTCCTGTTCTGAGAATGTGTCTTTCTGATTTCTTCCTGTGTGTCTGAATGTGTCAGGTATCACATAACCCTTTAAGTAGGTTAAATTTGAGTTATCCCTTTGAACAGGAAATCTTTCATTAGTCTTCTTCAAGCAGTCCATGATAATGATCTGTTGGCATATAAATAATGTTTAAAGAGCTGTTATTTCTGATCAAACTGATGGTTGTAGTGTCCAAACAATGATCCTTCTAGTGAATCAGGTGTTTGTGTAGCTGCAGGCTGTGTATGGTAGGAAATGTCTGTATACTTTAAAAGTATACATTTCCCGTTGCCAAGTGAAGCCTCGGATCTAGTTTTATTTTTAACTATTTTTGTCTGGACTACTTGCGAGATATCAGTGGAATAGATAGTCAACGCTCAACAAGAAAAAAGAAACATCTGTGCATTAGCTAATGAGAACATTTTGACGCGGTTCTCTGCCAATCATGTATAGTAAGTTTGGGGCGGGACTATCTGTTTGTCTGTTTGTTTATACAGATGAAGTGACTGTGTAGAAACAGCTTATTTTTGCTTAAAATAATAGTTGATGTTTTCATTGTTTCCTCCTGAAATTATGTGACTTTCCTGCTACTCTTTAGCTATTTTGTTACACTGTCTTAACTAGGTGTGATGTGACAAGTTACCAAGTTTTCTGTCCACACTGCACTGTCACAGGCAATGAGAAGTTACTTGATGTTTTGGACCATTAAGATTTCACAGTGGAACACCACAAAATGCAAAAGCTCCCGCCCACTTTGTCAGTGGCCGTAATTACGGAAGTATTTTTTCCCCATAGGGACTTTTTTAAAATCTTCTTTTAAGAGTTAGAAGCCACGAACCAAACCAACCAGTTACAAGGTGAAATCACTACAATATGAACCCTGGTATGAAGCCAAAAAAATATTTGAAAATTGGACAAAAAGACAAAGGTACTAGACTCCGTTCTTAATGACTTTAATGAGGAAAAGAACTACAATCCCATGAAGCATTGCAAATGACATAAATTTAAAAATGGTGAAGAAATATAAAACTGTTGATTTAAAGATGTTGATTATATATTTTGTTCGCTGTGCTTCATGGGAGTAGACGGGTTCTTTTGGCGCGATTTGCTTGTCACAATTCTGATTGTTGGAGATTTATTTGTAGAATCATGGGTAATGTAGTTTCAGTCAGAAATGCCACTGTTAAACATGATTATTTCAAGAATAAGTTGAAATTATGTGGGCTGATGACTTTAACAAAAATATATAACTGCGATTAACTACCTCGTAGCTCACAGAAGGTCTGTCTTTAACGGTTTATAAGTTATCATTAAAAATCAATTCCCCAATGCAGAAAATGAATGGGATTTTTACTTCCAGAACCTGACTGTGGCACTCAATTTAAACCAACCGATTCTGTCTCTCTTTACAGTAGCAGCTGGCTAGAACAACCAAAATTAAGATTTACATAAAAGTTTTATTGCATGATGCCTAATTAGAAAAGAGTATTAGGTGTTTTCAGATTGTACAAATTTTATCGAAGATGCAAGAATTTCCTTTCACCTTCTTTCTGCACTCTCTCTCTCTGTCTCTCAACTCTGTGTTCAGGTCACACAGAGTCATTATGTTTTGCCATGAAGTGAAGTGTGAGCTCTTGGCATATGTGTCCCGGCAGGTCTTTTACTGTCAGAGTGCTTGTTAGTTCACATGCCCAGGCCTGTCCTACGACACCTTTCCAGGAGACCTTTTAGCAGCCCGGCCGTCTGAATCAGCAGCAGGGACAGATGTGCTGGGTAACTGTGCTCATCTGACCCCGCAGGCCGACAAAAACGCTGAATGTCTCTTATGCTGGCTGCCAGGAACTAATGCTGTCTGCCCATTATGAGTTCATGTTCCACTCTTCATTGCTCAGCAACACTGATAGACAGGGCGGTGGTGGTGGATTGAGATGCTTTTAGTCCTCTGGGTATTGAAAATTGGGTGTTGTACTGTTGTAAATGATATATTTGGATGTGTTTCATAGCATTCCAACATAAGAAAAGACCTAAGAAAATTGACGCATTGGCAAGGTGCGGTTCTGTCAAAATGGGGGGAGGGGTGGGGGGGTGTTTTGGACCTCACTGACTTTTCCATTTTTCCATTTTTTGGGTGTGTTATACCTTTAAATTCGCCGTTAGAGCATTTGTAATCATCTCTCCTTTGACAGCACTTTATGAAAGCGCTCTAGCGATAAAACATTTCCCCGTTTGACCTCTTGCTGCTGACGACATGGAGATCTGTATCTTTGGATTTCTATTAACTATTTGAAGGCACATACTGAGCAAGAAGGGGTGACGTTTCCTTACACCTAAGCGGTCAAACACATGTTCCACTTGTCACAAACATTCATGGCTTATGGAAAACTTGATGCATGTGTCACTACCCATAAATTCATTTAGAACAGGTTTCGCTTCTCAGAATTAGATGGCATTGTGTTTATAGCATCAAAGCAGTACCTGGTTTACATGCACAACAATCAACTGATAACTATCAAAAATAAACCCAGCAACGCAATAGAGACTGTTTACTTGAGTTTTGTGTCTGCCAAATCATAAAGCTAAATGTAATTTTTGCCATTGGAAGTGTGTGTAGTACAGTAAATGATGTATATAAGCTGCTAGCTAGGCTAGTGTTGCCTTAATCAACCCCATTTCCTGAAATAATGCCTCTTTTTTTTTTTTTTGAGGACTTCCTTCCTTACAAACACTAAGTATCGCTCAAACGGACAGTCGACATGCCTGCTTGTGTGAGTGAATTTCCCATCATTTTCTCTAAGAGGCCTTTTCCTGTCTTAAGGACTGTGACTTGTAAACAAGAACAGCTTTATACAGTAATGAATGGCTGATGTTAACTCGTTTTCTCCTCACACATTAACTCAAGTACATTTTTTTTAATCAAACAACACCCTTACAATGTGATTTTACTGCCAAATGTTGACGTTTTGATAAACAAGCACAGGCAGCACACGGTGTAGCTCATGCAAATTCACACGCCAAATTACAAATGTTTTTTTTTTTTAAGTGTCACAGGAGGGGCACACATTTACAGTGCTTTATTCAATATATATATATATATACACTTCCAGATCTTTGAATAACCTCTGAGGTTGTGGAAATCCCCAGTTAGAAAGCACAGGAGAGGGCATTGTTACAGCTGTCAGGGTGCTCATCTACCCAGATAGGCTGTGCTGTTTGAGTCACTCTGACTTACCAGACTTCCACTCCCAGAATACACTCTCTTTTCTCATGATAGTGAAGTACTTTAGGATGTCTGCTGTGCTTATGTGTTAATATTATAGTATATTAAATATATGCACTTTCGGTTAGACTTAATAATAAATAATAGCATTATCAGTCATTAATACATGATATAATGCATTCATTAGCTAATGTACATATACAATTAATAGTAAAAAATGCCACAAAACCGTATCATAATTGGCAAATATTTATACAATATAATTGTAAGAAATATTGTATATATACTGTATACTTTTTTTTATTTTGTGTGTATATGTATGTATATTATTATCAATCATTCATGCATATAATCCATTTTTAATGTACATATTTAGAAATGTCACAAAACCATTTATTAAACATTTATATATAATTGTATGAAATATTGTAAAATAATGTATATTTTAATTTTAATTTATTATGTATACTTTTGTAATACTTTACACACACACGCACACATTATATTTATTGTTTTATTTATTAATTCAATCATTATTTTTTTTATTAATATATATATATTTGTGTGTGTGTGTGTAACTGTGTATATATATATATATATATATATATATATATATATATAAACGTGTAATAAATTTTTCTATTTTATTATTTTTAATAAGATGCATATGTATTTATGTACGTAATTTTTTTTTCTTTTTTTCCTCTGTCTTTACAGGTACTCTGCCAGCTGGTGAGCACAGCTTTCCGTTCCAGTTTCTCATTCCAGGTAATTTTACAATTAGCATTTCAAAGCCGTTAAAGCACATTTTCATTCAGAGCAACTTAATGGTAGTCATTAAATAAGGATGTGTTGTGCACCGTAGACGGAGAGCACTCAGGTGTGAGGTTAAACTATGCTGAGTGCCTCTGAAGCGTGATGAGAGGGTGGAAGAAGAGTTTAATTTTAACCTTGGTCTAACAGCAGCTGTATAAAGTATTTTTGTTATGGGCCCGTCGCCCCGTCCCTTTCTGCACAAACACATGTCCCATCATGAGCTATTAAGGGAAGACATGGCAGCGACATTCCTGGCTGCTTAATTAGTGTCTGCTTGCTAATGCTGACCGTATGAACAGCTATTAAAGATTAACCTCAAAGGATCTGATCAATCTAGGGACTTTCCTCCTTATAAATCAGGAATGCATTTTGACATAAGGCAAACAAATGCGAAGATATAGAGATAAAGCTAGTTAATATCTGTGGGCTGTTTCGGTTGAGTTTCACAGTGGTTTGCTATTATTTATTCATTTTTCAGAGCTCCTGAGTCTTCAGCTTATGTTTTGCTTTTAAAACAGATTCACAATGACAGCACTTAGAGTTGTATTGATTCACTTTATTGATTTGTGAGCTCTAACATCATCTTGCCATCTACCAATATCCTGGTCCTTGAACGATAGTGTTGTTTTGTCAAAGACGTGATTATTTTATAAGGTAGCTTGAATAGGAAAGCTTTTGACAAATCCAAAATAACATAATCTTTATGTCTGTTGTAGCATCCGTTCCAACCTCGTTCGAAGGCCCATTTGGGAAGATTTTGTACAAAATTAGGGCGTTTATTGACACACCACGTTTCTCAAAGGACTACAAGACCCAGCGACCCTTCTACCTTCTCAATGTGCTCAACCTCAATGAGTTGCCAGATGTAGAGGTGAGACTTGGCTATAGGGTCACATATATTAATGATACTTAATATAGTATAATATAATATTTAAAACTAAATGCAACAGTTATTTTAGGATATTTTATTATAATATATATATATAATAATAATATATATATATTATTATTATTCACATTATACATATTATATTATACTTGCTTTCCAATTCCTAATGTCTGCACTTCTTTTCCCAGCAACCCAGCTGTGCTGTGACTGTAATGAATGGCTGATGTTAACTCGTTTTCTCCTCACACATTAACTCAAGTACATTTTTTTTAATCAAACAACACCCTTACAATGTGATTTTACTGCCAAATGTTGACGTTTTGATAAACAAGCACAGGCAGCAATGGCTGATGTTAACTCGTTTTCTCCTCACACATTAACTCAAGTACATTTTTTTAAATCAAACAACACCCTTACAATGTGATTTTACTGCCAAATGTTGACGTTTTGATAAACAAGCACAGGCAGCGATTAACATTCAACACAAATATTATACAATCCTAAAGAACATTAATTATTAAAGGGGTGGTTCACTGGTTTTTTTTCTAGGCTTGATTGTGTTTATGGGGTGCAGTCTAACATGTGTTAATGCTTCGTTTTTTAAAAATCACATTATTTTTCGCATAATTTACCTTTATTCCACACTGCTCTGTCCCTTCTCTGGGAAACGCGCTGATCATTTCCTTCTTTTATGAAGCCCCTTCCTCAGAAATAGGCGATGGGCTCTGATTGGTTAGCTAGCCCAGTGTGTTGTGATTGGCTAAACCGCCTCGCTTTATTCAAGATATATATACACTTCCAGATCTTTGAATAACCTCTGAGGTTGTGGAAATCCCCAGTTAGAAAGCACAGGAGAGGGCATTGTTACAGCTGTCAGGGTGCTCATCTACCCAGATAGGCTGTGCTGTTTGAGTCACTCTGACTTACCAGACTTCCACTCCCAGAATACACTCTCTTTTCTCATGATAGTGAAGTACTTTAGGATGTCTGCTGTGCTTATGTGTTAATATTATAGTATATTAAATATATGCACTTTCGGTTAGACTTAATAATAAATAATAGCATTATCAGTCATTAATACATGATATAATGCATTCATTAGCTAATGTACATATACAATTAATAGTAAAAAATGCCACAAAACCGTATCATAATTGGCAAATATTTATACAATATAATTGTAAGAAATATTGTATATATACTGTATACTTTTTTTTATTTTGTGTGTATATGTATGTATATTATTATCAATCATTCATGCATATAATCCATTTTTAATGTACATATTTAGAAATGTCACAAAACCATTTATTAAACATTTATATATAATTGTATGAAATATTGTAAAATAATGTATATTTTAATTTTAATTTATTATGTATACTTTTGTAATACTTTACACACACACGCACACATTATATTTATTGTTTTATGAGCTGGTGATCTGAATGAGAGAGAGAGAGAGAGCGAGAGATGCAGAGCGTGTGCAGAGCAGGGGGACGCGAGGAACAATATTAAGAACCGCTGCTTTAGAACATTGATTTTGAAACTTGTGAATCCATTAGAATCGTTAAAAGCCAGAATCGCGATTCATATATGAATAGATTTTTACGTACAGCTCTAGTTTTCTCTTCCTCTTCTCTAAAGCAGCGCAGGCCTCGCCCCCTTTGCTGCCTTTTCCCGAGGGCGGGGTTTATCTGGGTTTGTGATGTCACGAACCCAGGAAGTAACTTGTTGTAGTCCCTACCAGCCGTTTTTGTAGGCATTAAACTGCCTGAATTTTAAAAGACGAAATCTCCGTTTGCATTGATCTTTCAGCTTCGTAACTTTGCAGATATTGTTTATGCTCAAACAGCAACATTACACACTAACTAACGTTAAAAAAGTGAAATCGCAATGAACCACCCCTTTAAAGAATCATTCAGAGCAGTTTTGTGAACTGGATCAACTGATTCATTGAAAATATCTGACTCAGTGAGTTGAATTCAAGAACTGAATCAGTCTGATTAATGAAAAAATCATTCAGAACACTTTTGTGACCTGAATCAACCAGTTCATTGAAAATATCTAGTTCAGTGTGTTGAATTCAAGAACCAAATCAGTCTAACTCATGAAAGAATCATTCAGAGTAGTTTTGTGAACAGGATCAACCAATTAATAAAAAATAAAAAGTTAATTTCAAAAACTGATTCAGTCTGATTCATGAATGAATCATTCAGAGCAGAATTTTTGGACCTGGATCAACCAGTTTATAGAAAAGATTGGACTCACTTTTATTTTTGACTAACCAAATCAGTCTGATTCATGAACAAAACATTCAGGTCAGTTTTGTCAACGGATCTACTGATTCATTGTAAAGATCCAACTCAAAAGAATGATTTGTTCACAAATCTCATGAACGTGTGATTTTTATTTTTGCATGAACTATTCTTTGAAGGTCTTTTCTTGGATGCACTGCTGAAGTCTTTCAAATTAAGATTTATCTAGAAATATAGCTTCATGTCATGAAGTGCGTCTCCTTCTCACAGGTTTCACTAAAATCTCCAGAGGCTGTGGTCACGTTACCCATCTACATTGGGAACATTGCTGTAAACTTAACTCCCTCCATTCCTCACCCCATCGCCCAAGGCGCACCAGTGCCTGCCATGCCAAGCCTCAGCCCTGCGCCCGTAGTCCCCAGCGCACCTCATGCAGAGTGGAGAGAACAGATCATCGTCCCTCCTCTTCCTCAATCAGGCCTCACTGGCTGCAGCCTCATAGATATTGAGTATTTTATCCAGGTATGGGACAGGAACTCTGAACCTTACCATTACATGAGGTAAAAACCCAGCGCACCTCCTGCGGAGGACCACCTGGAGGGTGCGCTGGGTGCTGGAGGAGTAGACAGCGAGGAGATCCCCACCAAGAGTCATTCTCAGCAGGACCCGTCCGGCATTCCTCTCTCCATGTCTCCCAGCGTGTTCGGTCAAGCGTCCGGTCCGCTCCCGACGCAGAGCCAGCAGCTCGCCCAATCCTCCGACGGCTCTGCTCCTCTGTTCTGTCTGTCTACAGGGGCCACCATACCTTTCTTCACAGATGATTCAAGTCAAGTGAGCTTTCTTGACATTCTGCTGTATGTGGAATCATTCAAAGGAATTAAATGTTGTACCTCACAGGATCGACCAATGCACTGAAAAGACAGAACTTGAAAACCAAATAAGTGAGACTCATAAAATAATCATTCAGATCATTTTTCTGAACAGGACTGACCAATGCATTGAAAAAAATCTAATTATGTGAACAGATTTCGAAAACAGAGTAAGTTGATTCGCAGGACCCGTCCGGCATTCCTCTCTCCATGTCTCCCAGCGTGTTCGGTCAAGCGTCCGGTCCGCTCCCGACGCAGAGCCAGCAGCTCGCCCAATCCTCCGACGGCTCTGCTCCTCTGTTCTGTCTGTCTACAGGGGCCACCATACCTTTCTTCACAGATGGTAATACAACGCCAGTGCCCACTTCCTGTCCCCTCATCCTGCCCCCTGAATACAGCACCTGGGAATACCCACATGGTGAGTGATCTAGTTGAGAATTAGTACTCTGTACAGGTTTGTGTCTGGGTGGTTACCCTTGTTCTCCAAAAAGTCTTGCAGTATGTTTATTTACTAGTTGATGGGTCAGTGTTTATATTATGTAAATGGCTAGTGCAAAGCTTTAGAACTACAAAGCAAAAAACTCTAGCTCATACTGTAGGTCATAAACTCTTTATAAAATAATGTGTAGTTGCATAAACATTTGCCTCTTTTTGATTCAATTAGCAGCATTCAAATTTGTAAACTCCGTGTTGAAAGGCCAAATATGTCAGTTTATCTGGTTACAGTTGATGTTTCAAAATAATTTTTCTCATGAAACTGGTAACAGTTAAAAGTTGATGTGTAAATAACCATAAAGTTTATTAAAGTAATATTTATATTTATAAATTATCTTTTTTAAAGTGTATTGAAATATGTAGATATTTTATATAGAGTTATTTATATACCAAATGAGTCTATTTTTTTTCTCAGATTTATTTGTTTATTGTAGTATTTATATTTATTGAATGTTGAATCGATGTATGCATGTGAAGCAATACACATAAATGCAACCACAACAACACTGAAATATGTAAATAATAAATCTAGGAACTGTATCTAAGATTAATATAACAAACTGGAAAATTTGACATTTATCTGTCTTTGTCTTTCAATTGTTCATTCTATCATTCTATCATTCTATTGTTCTGTCAATCTATCTATATTATATGTTTAAAACAGTAAAACACTTGCATGCGTGTAACTCGCATATAGTTCAGATCGGTTTTGCTTGAAAACCATTTATACTTATAATGTTCACTTCCCTAAAATGTAATCGAGCATAAATGTCAACATCATCATCTACAGTAAAATATCAAAACGGAAACATCACTAGTTGTTGTAATCCAATCGGTTTGCCATTTTATTCTAGACGTTACTTCTGGTAGGAGGCTTTTGTTAATATTTCGTTTATGTATGGGGTTACATTTCAGCAAAGGTTAAAGTTACAACCATCAAATAATTAAGAGTGCGCAACAAGCTGTAACTTGTCGCCATGTCTAGAGTAAGCGCACATTAAATAATTTAAACTATTCGATGCTGATCCAAAGTATCATTTAGTGGCAGAACTAATCGACTAGTCAGTGAAACCCTAACCTCGGTAGCAGCAAATGTGAATCTTGTATTTTTATAAAAGAGGTTTGCCATCTAGATAAGACCCTGTCACAGTGTGAATGTAACTGATTATGTACTCAAATTAAATGCAGATTTATTGAAATTTGTTTGTTTTTTCACTCTTTTCAGAGCCACCCCCCACTTATGAGGAAAGCTGCAGTAGCAACAACTCCAGCTTCAACAGTAGCATGAGGTAGACCCATTAGAGGTCTCGCTTCTTCATCATGCCATTCATCTGATACCACCTGCTGGACGGTACAGGCATTGCTGCCAGCCCATAAACCTGTCCCTTCTTCTCCATGAGCCAAATATGTTTAAAACATATAAAGGATTGTTTCCTTAATTTTTAGTTAATCCACTCAGATTACCGTTTCAACATTGAAGAAAACAACCTTGAAACTGTACAGGGAAAATGTTTCAGTGCCTAAGAACTTAAGATGTAGCACTCTTGAGCATCCCCATGATGAGACACACTCAGAGTTCTTGCAAAACGAATACCAGCATCTGTAACATTATGAAGTGAAAGTTACACTGAAAATACTTTTTCATTCAACCAAGGCTGGCCTTATGTAAATCTTATCACAAAGCATGCTCTGTAAAATCTGACTTATCGCAGAAATATAATTCTGCTTGACTGCAAGTCTTGTTGAGGAAAAAAATATTCCTTTCCTTGTGACGTTCATTATGAATTATAAGGCACTCCATGCTTATGCTAGCAGGAATGGCTCTTGACGGAGACACTGGGCTACAGAGAACGTTACTCTGGAAAGAACAAGTTTTATTTATTGATCATGATTGATGTTGGAAGTTTTCATTTGACTTTTTAAAATCCATCTCATCACCAAATGGATACAGTGTGGATACAGCTGTGGAATATCACATACATAAGTCATTATCACTTGGCCAAATGGTAGCCAGTGTCCCTTGAATGGTTAAGGGAACAACATATTACATATCATTTTAAAATGAAAACTAGTTATATGTTCATTTTGTTTTACAGGCTGTCAAGATTTTAGGATGACACTTCGGACTCCTGACTGTATTTTTGATGCCTTATTTTACATAAAACAAAGCAAAATAATCAGATTTTTCTTTTCTGGGGTTCATTGTTTCACCCTATAATTATTATTTCAAAGAACTGTCATTCAGAGTGTGATAGATTTTTTTTTTTCAGACTGCGTAATGTCAGTGCTGGTAATATGTTAGAGTTTGGACATTTCTGATATGCATCATTTGAAATCTGATTCGAACTGTACATGCCTTTGTATGTGACTTGGTCTTATGCATTGATATTTCTCATACTAGCCCACAGCGATTGGAGATTTATGATAGATTTCTGGTGAGGCCTTAGGCTGTACTTGGATTGTTGTGTACAGTCCTTTAATATGGCAAACACTTTTTTCCAAAACACTTGTCCAGACCCTTGAACTGTTGAAGAAATTGAAAAATTGAAGCACAAAAGGCACTTTTATTTATATATATATATATATATATATCTATATTTGTGTGTGTGTGTGTGTGAGTGTCTGTGTCTGTGTTTAAGAATATTTTCTCAATTCCTTCTCCAAAATCTAAATGATCAATTTCCATTTTTAGTTCAGTGTTGTACTAAGTTTAGTACTTGATTCAGAACAGCCCTACAGAACAGACCACCTATATCATGTCTTACATCATTTTGTATGAAGCAAATTTAAAAGACATGTTTTCAGTACTAAATCCTGTGATATTCTATATATTTTCCATCTGTCTCTGAGTATTTGTTTAAAATGTATGTTGCGCTATGTACCATTTACATTTGGGTCATTCTACAAAAAGGGTGCCATTTGCGCCTTTATACAGTATATAAAAAATTAACAGTGAAAAGGTGATGCATTCATGTGCTAATATGTATATTTCTTAAAAGGAATTAACAAAAATCCAGTAGCTTTATTTTATTTTCATTAAGAGGGTTGATTTTCTGCCCTGTGTACTTTTTGATGAAAAAACAAAAAAATAGAGACATAAAAGCTAGCATTTATTCTCCGTCTACATATTTTTGATTTTATTGGACATAAAAAGGATTTATTGTGCAAAGGTTATGTGTTCACACTGTTTGCATCATATTTCCCCCTTTGAAAGAACTGAACTATTCCATAACGCAGAAAAACTTTGTCATAACATTATAATATTTTCAGAATGCAAACACTTTAAGGAAAAGTCTACACTTTTTTTTTTTTTTAAATCACTTTATCTTATATGTGACCCTGGAGCACAAAACCAGTCTTAAGTCGCTGGTGTATATTTGTAGCAATAGCCAAAAAAACATTGTATGGGTCAAAATGATTGATTTTTCTTTTATGCCAAAAATCATTAGGATATTATGTAAAGATCATGTTCCATGAAGATATTTTGTAAATTTCCTACTGTAAATGTATGTATTGTAACTTAATTTTTTATTAGTAATATGCATTGCTAAGAACTTAATTTGGACAACTTTAAAGGCGATTTTTCTCAATATTTTGATTTTTTTGCACCCTCAGATTCCAGATTTTCAAATAGTTGTATCTCGGCCAAATATTGTCCTATCCTAACAAACCATACATCAATAGAAAGCTTATTTATTCAGATTCAGATTTATACATCACTCAGATGATGTATAAATCTCAATTTCAAAAAATTGACCCTTATGACTGGTTTTGTGGTCCAGGGTCACATATTTTGTTCCAATTGTCAGTAGGGCAAATTGGCGGTCTGATTGTGATTGATTGTGGAAATTGTATTTTAAAAAATGTATATTTGTAGCATGAAATGGATCAATGCAATTTACTAACAGTTAAACATTATACAACAGATATAATGTTTAAAGTCTTTCAAAAATGTACTTTTGAATCATCTTGTTAGACTGCAGAAGGTATAGATTATATAGAATGACCCATTCATATTAAGGGATCTTGACTTTGCTCATTGTATCGCAGGAGGCCACTGTGACTTCTAACAGTGCAGCTATAAATTTCAGATTGTTTCTTCACTGTGAGCAGCACTATGTTAAAATTGCACAAATGTTAAGAACATTCAAACAAAAATAAGAAATTTTAAACTGATTTATTTGAATTTGTTAATGTTTATCCTCAAAATCCAGTAAAGAAACCCGACTTGAACACCTATTCTGTATTTTAAACCACGTTTTGCCTTAAATGTGAATCTGATGTGTCCCTGGTCCCATCGTAATTGTTAAAAGACAAATACTTTGAGATAACATTGCATCGCTTTTACTGTTCTCTACATTTGCCTCTCAAAAGAGTCATAGGGGATATTAGATAGTTAGTTATTTTAGCACTGCAGGTGAAAGAAATGATGTGCAAGTCCTCCATTTTTGGAAATGCTGACATTGCAGTATGGACAAACACTTAGTCATTTTTTATTTACATGTGCTAGGTTCCGTCTTTTCCTTTTCACCAAAGGTTCAACAGCTTTATCAAGTTTCATTTTATCATTGTGTGATACTTTCCTTTCCCTTGATTTTCCAGCAGGTTTTGAAATAAAGTAGCATGATTGTGGATCAGTGTTCTATGTAAAGATGTGACAGAATGAAACTTGTACAGAAAATAAAATCACTTAAATTCT